ACTTGTCAGGAGACCTCTATAGAAGAAATAGCAGGAAAGACTTTGTCATCTCTCATAACACATTTTCAGCTCAGCTCGTTTCCCACTGAAGTCACCAAGCTAATTCCTAGAAATGTTCCCTATCAGGCAACTAGTACTTCTTTATCTACTGTAAGCTGCAAGACTCATAAGTCATCAGTTCATTCTGCTGTTTGCTGCTTTGCTATATATTGGGATTAGAGTCAGACTCTTTGAAAATACTTTATGGCACTGTTTAAAAACTTCCAATTTTCTGTTTTATGTAACGTAACCACTTGGAAGCTTTTGTTCAAAAATAACTCTGCAAGTATTCTACAATAAGTATAATGGGATGATTACATTACTACAGAAACTCTGGAAATTTACACAAATACGATGACAAATCTCCCTCTGATTCAGGCTGCTTGTGCATGCTTTCTCCTCCCTCCCTCCCCACAGTGTCTCCTACTGAGGAATTAGTAGATTGGTTCTTATTTTGGTACAATTACCAAAACTTTTTTTATCCCTCTTGTAAGGTAAGGAGGCAGAAGCTATAGGAATGTCATACAGGCTGCAGGGATGCAGGCAACTCTTGCTCTTCAGTGCCTTTGCCAGGCTATGAACGCACATGTCTCCACCATGGGATAAATGAATGGGCAGTACCATTGGAAAGGGACATCACCACAGGCAGATGTTTACTTCTGTGATCTGTGCAGCCTGGCTGGGACCACCTGGGCATGGGAAGGGGGGGGGGGATGGGAAACGGCTGGCAAAGGGGTGTTTCAGGTGAAGGTGAGCCAGAGGCTTTACCCGAGTACTGCCAAGAGCATGAAAGAGCAGATGTTTGCATTATACTTCTTTTGGAACCTGCTCCTCCTGAGCTTTGCTGCTGCCTAGTAGCGCTAAGGGTTTAGAGTATCTGTGCACCAGAAAGCTTTCCTAAATCAACAGTCTCCTGTTGCTACATAAATACCTAACTGGAGCAGAGATATTTATTTTCGAAGTGGGAGATGTTGTTTCTGCGACAATATTTTATTATAATGATTTTGATCATGAACCTGCAATCTTTACATGAAGACAAGGCTCTCCTTGATTCCAGTGCAAGCTTTGTCTGACTAAGGATTTCAAAATTAGCTCTTTGTTTTTATTTTTATTGAAAAACAAGCCTATGTTTGACAAGATAAAAACAGTAAGTAGATCATGTCAGGGAGACAAATTCCTGTGAGAAATTTCTAGCAGGAAAAACAGAGCTTTATGATTACATGGCAGTAAGTTGCAAGGTTCAAATTCTAAGGGTTTTCCAGAGAAAAATACTAATGCACTATTGTGAAGGGTACCTATGCCACCAGGGGAAAAGTCCCAACCCAGCACATGCCTCTGGCACCTCTCTATTAGAGACTACACAAACGAGTAAAGGTTGCAGCACTGAAATGAATAAAGTATTTCCATGAAAATTTAAAACATCCATGGAATTAAACCACATTTTGACCTAAGGGGTTTTGAGGGTAGATTGCATATCAGTCTGGCCACACTTTATGCCACCAAATGGGCATATAAGCTTATCTGGGAGCCATTCGCAGAGGGGAGCCACCCAGCACCCAAACCCGCAAAGACCCAAACCCAGCACACCAAGCTCTGCAGCTCACAGTAATTGCAGAGGCATGGAAATGTCAGCAAAAAGGCTGGGGTGGGCCAGGGTGGGGGGCTGCCCTTCAGCCCTGCTGTGCCGTTCATACAGGCAAGAAGTCCACAGGGAGTGGGGCAGGCACAGGAGGCTGGGAGCACTTGGGGTGGGACAGGCAAACATGGAGCTGGGGCTTCACTGAGTATCTGGTCCGCACCCCCTGCATCAGCAGACCCCCAAAAAAACCTAGAGCAAAATGCCAGCAGGGCAGGGGCAGCTGCAAGATGCTCTGGCAAATAGGAGAAAATGGGGTGTTTGGGGTTTTGTTTAGGGGGGTGCAGTTTAGGGAGTGATGAGAGAGGCCGTTGTTTTAAACCAAACATTCCTACTAGGAGCAGACGGCTGTGAATGCACTGCTTGACCCACAGCTGTTTGCTGAGCTGTGATGCATGCTTCGTGCCCTGCTGATGCGCTGATGGAAGTGGGTGCTCTCAGAAGTTTGTCCCAGTTCTGGTTTGATCATAATCAAAGGATCGGTGTTTTTGCAGGCACGGACACAGCAAGGGGGAATGTGGGGATGCATTGTTGGAGAGGTAGGGGAAGAGTGAGGGAGAACGTGTATTACATTAAAAAGCCCCCCATTGCCCAGAAGGGGAAACAGGAACCTGAATTTAGTAACTCGGTGATCTAAGGCACCGGATTTCAAAGGTGGGGAGCAGTAGGGCGACACGCCGGCTAAACTCGCAGCCCCTCCAGCACCCTGTGCAGGCTGCAGGCAGGGGGCAAAGCGGGTGTCCCCTCTCCCTCCCCCATTAGGAGTCTGCACCAAATACTGGTCAGCAGCAGAGGTGCGCCAGCATCAAAGGAGCTTTCGGTCCGTCCTCACAGCAGGCTGCCAAGCCGCTGTGACGGGATTTTGCAGCCCCCTTCATCCTGCTTTAAATGGAGATAACACCGGGGCAGCACGTTTAATTAATCTCATTGATCAGCGCGAACCGGAGGCACCGTCCCTCCGCGAGCAAAACGGGTGCGAACCGGCTTCTCCCGCCGTGACATCCCCTCTCCGTCCGTTCCTTTCCCCCCGCGGGACCCACCTGCCCGCTTCATAAACGCCTTTTGCCGCACCACGTTATTTCCCCGGCCTGCGAAAGCCTCCGGCAACAGGGAAACTCACTGCGGCGCGACCGCTACCGAACTCTCGTGGTGCTTGTGTATGTGAACATGCGGCAAGCGGCCTCACGGAGCCAACGCTCTAGAGAACGGAGCCGTTCACCTACCCACCCCCGGCAGCGCTCTAGAGCCCCGCCTGGCCCCCGCAGCCGCCGCCCGGCTCCGCAGTGTCGGGGGCTGCCCCCCCCCGTCACCTGATTACCGCCGCGCACAGCACAGCACAGCACAGCACAGCACAGCACAGCACAGCACAGCACAGCACAGCACAGCACAGCACAGCACAGCACAGCACAGCACAGCACAGCACAGCACAGCACAGCACAGCACACTAGGGTGAGTTCCCCCTCCCCCCTATTCCCATTACCTCCTTCATTCCCTCCCTCCCTCCCGGGAGCGCGCTGGGGGCGGGGGTTTCGCGGTATATACGGCCCCACCGTCCCCGCCCCTGCCTGCTTCCTGCAGTACGGGAGGCTGGGAGGCGCAGCTGTTGCCGCTGACGGGCCGGGCCGCGCCGCGGCAGGTAGCCGAACAGTGTCGCACCAGGATTGCTGCGGGGTGAGTGTGCAGAGCTCCGGCCCCTCTCCACCTTCCCCCCTCCCTTCCCGGTTGGGGGCGGGGGGAGCTGTGCCACCGTGAGAAGGTGCGGGAGGGGTGAAGGGGGGGCTCGCCCGGGTGGTACTTGTTGCGGCGCTCAGGGGCTGTGGGTGCGTGGTGGCGGTAGCAGCTTGTAGCTGCCCGCGCCGTCGGGGCGGGGTAGAGCCCCGCGGAGCGGCTTTGCGTTGCCCGTCACTGTGTGCGCGGTGCCGGCGCGGAGGACTGCGGGTGGCTGCTCGGTCTGGCCAGGGCAACGATGTGAGCAGCCGCCGCCCGTCCGCACCTGCCTTACGGCAGCCCCCGCCCGGGCTCTTCCCAGAAAGTTTCGAGAACTCCTTAAAATGGGAAGCGGCACCAGGAAAACCGAGCTCCCGGCGGCTGCGCTCCAGCGAATGTGACTGGCTCCTGCTTCGGTCTGCCGGCGGCACCGGGCGTAGCCTGGTCGGGCTGGGCGGCGGAGGGCAGCGAGGGCTCGGATCCCAGCGGAGGTATGCGGAGAGAAGGTTTTGCAGTATCTCAGCCGCTGGGGTGTGTGGTTCGGGTGGGGTTTGAGTTAAAAGCCTTCTAAACTTCTGCAGGCGTCACATTTTAGCTACTATTTACCTAATGAGGATCCAAAAAAGCACCTTTTTTTATTTATTTTTTTTAAATGCAGTATATGGTGGAGACACAAAAAAAAAACCAAAAAACCAAACCAACAATCTGTTCCAACTGTCAGCGTGTTGGGGAAGAGCAGCCGCTTTCTGGAAGCATGCATTCACAGGGGCAGGTTTTGGGATGCAGGCAATGCCGCCCTGGTGAGCTTAGGAAGGTTCCAGAAAGCAAGGTGGGTGCTGTCCCCTCTGTGGGAGCGCCCCAGAGTCTACCCATCTCTTGTGGGGGACTGTGCAAGGGGAGTGAGCAGTCTGACTTCCACATGAACATAGCCCACCCCACTGTAACCCCGTGGGGATGACAGCTAAAGAGGATGTGCTGGAGATGAAGAGAGTGCAGCTTCCCTCGTGCAGTCGTGGTTTGGTGACCACGCTGTGGCTCCATGCAGTCATTAGCAGGGACCTATCAGAAAATGCCTTTGCTGGGCTGCTTCTACTGAAGCGGTTTTGAGAAATCCAGGTTGCTACAACCTGGAAGAAGTCTTAAAACAGTGATTGCCAGTGGTGCTCCCTTGCATGGAGCCCTGTTCTGCAGTAGAGGTCTAGCTCTCTTCATGGCAAGGGTGTTAATTGACATGCTTCATGCAGCAGGGTGGGTTCTTACTGTTTTCTGACAAACTACACCAGTTACACAAAATCACTGGGAGGGGTGACCTACTTGAAGGGAGAAGAGGAAAAAGTGTTTGAGGAGACCTTGATTTCAAACATTGTGTTGCATGTCCTAACCAAGCAGGGTTATTGCCTCCTGAAGGTGTGAAATGTATGGCATGAAGGCTTCCCTTCTTTTTTCTTTTTCTTTTTTCTTGCAGCTTTAGCAGGAAGGAGATAGTTACTCAGGAGCATGCAATTCGTATGTTTCTTAAACATCCCTGCATTGTGTCAAGAGATTAAAATACCAAGAGTGTGTCTCCTCATCCTATCTCTCTCAAACTGTATTTAAAATCAGAGTATCATTAGCAAAATTGTAGGTACTCATGGGGAACGAGGGTATGTTTTATGGTTGAAAGTCAGAAAGCCAACAAATAACACTTTTGCAAATACCTGGGTCTTGCAGGTCTTCAACATGGTTGGTACTGAACAGCTACCTTTCTGCATGCAGTTCAGTGTAAGTACAGGAGGTGTTCCTATGAATTTTTTTTTTTGTGTTTATGGATTGTGGTAGATTAATGGATTCTTCTCCCCTCTTTAAATAGGTGGGTTGATTGTGACAAACGGTCAACATAGCATATTGCAGATGGTCTTGGTTGGGAGGCATCATGGGTAGTATCTGAAAGGCTCTGCTTTTCATACTCCCCCACAAAAAAAAGGTAACTAGGAAAGAATTTGCCTGTATGTCCATTGCTGATGTTACCAGCAGCTATTCCCTGTGAAGGAATGAGATACATTACAATTAATTTGTGGCACTGTTACGGCCTTTCTTGAGCCGTTGAAATGTCGGAAGGTAGGTACCCCAAGGATTTCATTAGTACCACTCAACAGTCAATTAATAGATGAAACCCACAAAGCATGGTATGCTAACAAATAAAACTTAATGTGAAAATAATGGTTTTTATGTAATAAAAATATAAACTGTCTTACTGGCATCATGAATCATCTGCATATTAAATGCCTGTTTAGAAGGGAAGAGTTGGCCGCATTTCACCACAGGTTAAGTAATTGTGGGTTAATGGGATTCTGTCAAATATATGCTGGGAAATATTAGTGTACAAAGTAATGATTTTTCTTAACATGCCTGCATTTTACCTCGAAAACAAGTCCACAGTTCTTCAGACTCTTTTGTACTGCATAGATGCATGATGGCTATCTGGAGATAGAGAATGGATTTTAGAAGGGCGCTCTGGAAGCGGTAAATAATGGATGCTCATAAGATCAATTTTAGAAATGGGGGAAGGGAGGGAATTGGGCCTTCTTGTAAAAACTACGTCCTACCCGATTATTTTTTCTTTAGTATATCAGGCTAAACAATGCTGTATTTTGACTTGTGATAATATTGTTGCTGGCTAGTTTTAAGCTTGTATTTTAGAATAGAGACCAGGGCTAGAAGTTCTTTTTGGTTAAACTGAGTGTATAGACCTTGGAGAACATGATATTCCTTAAAGTTGTTTTGAAAGCAAAAAATATTTTCTGTACTTCAGTGTCTACAGTACTTTCTGATAGTGTGTACTTGGTATTTACTGTAATCTACAGCTGCCTTAAATCAGTTACATAAATAGTGTTAAGTAAATGTGACATTGTTTATGAGAAACTTGTCATTTACTATTTCTGTAAATTAGGTGGTTTAAGTTAATTTGTTTAATGAAAATATTATAACTTGGATTTCATAAGTAATAAAGTTTTTAACATTTTCACATACTGTGCATTGTCTTGTAGTGTCAATACATCTGCATGGTTCAAGGAGAGGACACAATAATGTTCATCTTATTTTAACCATTATGTTTAGTATGTCATATGCAGATGGATTGAGGTTAATGCGGGGGATGTCTGTGGGAAAAATCCTTGTCCTCGAAATATTTTTAGGAACAATTGACCAATATAGGCTTCCCTGTTTTGGGGGTGGGAGTGGATGCTTTGGAGAATGATTTTGTTTGTCTCTTCTGGTAATTCTTCATTTTTAAAGAATAGGTTTAATAGTTTTGGAAACCAGCAAGGGAGGGAGAGATGGGAGAGCTTATTACAGGAAAAGGTTAGTACTATCCTGTTCTTTATTTTATTCATGGGGTTTTTCCTTTTCGTGTCTGACCTGCCGATGGATTATTTGGGGAGAGAAAGGAAGGAGTGTGTTTTCAAGGCAGAGACATGTATCAGAGGGGATGCTCAATTAGAAAATTGTAGTACAGCCCTACAGCCTAATGGAGTGAGAAGATGACAAGTCTCAGCCAGCTGGGTGGGGCACGATGCAGTGCTAACTGTAAGCCTTTTGTCTGATAAAAATTTCTGAAACCAAGTGATTGTCTGGCAATTAGCATCTCACTTGACCTTTTTAAGGACAGGAAAACAAAGGTAATGAATGTATCTTTCAGTGCCACCCAGTTTGTCGGGATTTTTGTGCATTGCTAGAGAGCCGCAATGACTCCTGTGGCTCTGGTTCCCAGCGCAGCATGGCTATTCAAAATTTGAAAGATTATTTGTGATATAGTGCCTGTAGAAATTGTTAAACCCTTAAGCAAACGAAAAGCCCCGTGTAAAGCTGCTAAACTACTTTGCCTGACTGTTTTTAAGGCTTCTTTTCCTGTCAGTGCAGTGAATTAACTTCACCAGAGTTTCAGAGGTTGCTGGAAAATGCAAGTCTTGTTGTTCCTAAGCTGCACTTTAAGTCATCTGTATTACTGAATAGTTGGAATTACTAGATAATTACAGAAAACCTAGTGCATTGTTTAAGTTAAATGTAAGCGTTGTTTAAAAACATTGTTTTAATGAGATACGGCATTCTTAAATGCTCTTGCTACAAAAATTAATTTGAGCTTTTTTAAATACTGCATGGTTATCAAAGAATTTGTAACATTTTGTAAGGAGGATACTTGCAAGACCTTTATTTTGTTTTAAGGCTCTAGAATCTGAAATCAAGTCTAATAATCCCAGATATGTGTGAACAGCTATTTATGTTTTGCTAAATTTGAAACAGTATAAATGTTAGGGTTTGTGCAAGACTTAAGTAAGCTTGAATCTATTGAAAACTGATGCAGAAGATCATCCGTGTGAGGGGAATTTTATATGGTTGTGAGGTACCTTGGAAATAATTAAACTAATACTTGTGCTGGTTTTGTTGGTCCATTAAATGCTTAATTACTTCATTTGAACATGACTGAGGGGATTCATTTACAAATTAATACTTATTTTTAATGCCAGGTGACAGTATCATCACTGAAATGCATACTTCTCTGTGGTTTACACTTTCTGTAGAGACAATTTAATTTGCATGTATCGAAAAGAAAATGGTGGCTTTTCATCTCGCGGTGAAGACTGAATAGAAAACTGATGTTGTGATGTCTTAACACTGGGGCACTGTTTTGCAAAGAATAATGTATACGCTGAAGCATCATCATAGAATTAGACAAACTTTAAAATGCGCAGTGAATGTTTTGAGATGCAGTTCATTTCTGCTGCACTTAATATCTGAATGTTATAATGGATGTCTGCGTTAACAGAACACATTAGGGCTTATGTATTGTAGGTAAAATAGGGAATAGGCTAAAGAGGGAGAATGTAAGTGCTATCCAGTAACTGACTTTTCTTAAGCTTACCATAGGATATTCAATACTAAGATGAAAAAGTATAAATGGTAAACAGTATGTATTTATCATCTATGCAGTATTGACCTAGATGAAAAGGAAACAAGTAATAATCAGCATTTTAAATAGAACATTAAAAATGAATCTCTTAAGACTTTGAAACGTGTAATCAGTGTAAATTGGAGGGGAGGAGAAGGAAGGGATTGGGGGAACTGTTGCAGTGTGCTCTACTCCTTCAGCTCTTTATACAGAAGTAGGTATCATGATAGAGAAAAATAAAACAACTGCCTAAATTTGCTGGATTTCAAATCGACTAGTAGCACTCGTGAACTACACGGGGTATTTCTGCAAATCGGTATGTTCCGTCTGTGCTTTGTTGGAGCAGCAGGCCTATTTGCAAAGCTGTTTGTCACACAGTCGTTTTTATTGTAATAGGGCTGATATGGAAATATTCCTCTGATACATCTAAAGAAAAGACAAATGGCAGCATTTATAGAAGGTGGCAGATTGAACCACAGTATGTGTGTAGGGAGAAGGGGTTGGTGTTGTCTTGTTTCCCACCCCCAGCCCCATTACCCAAGAGGGGATTGACGTTATTTTGTTTAAATATGGTGCATGTTATGTTGGACTAGTGGGAAGATTAACACAATTGGGCTCTTAACCTGGTTAAGGACCCTGGGTCCTGCCCCAAGGTAAACAATGGATATTTTCTTGTTTGCCCAGCAGGTCTTACTGTGTGGAAAAATAGCTGGGAGCCAGTCCTATTCTTTTTAACCACTTGTCTTGCACATAAATACATTAAACTTAAGGGTGTTTTGGAAGAAGTTTGGCCTTTCTAACAAGTCAAAATACTTGGATTTTGTTGTTTTATTTCAGCTGAAGGGCCTGATCCCATTTTAATACTTTTATATTTAAAGTGATCACCCATCAATTTCAAGATTAAAAAAAAAATAAGTGACCTCTTTAGCTGATATAAAGCAATGGCTGATTGCTCTTGTGGACTTGTGTGCTGTTCATCCTCTGTAGTGAATGTGGTCCTTAGTAATTCAGCTGTATACTGATAATTTTTATGTACATTTGGAATTTAACTTTTATTAAAGTGTAAGAGGGTAAAATATGAATGAGGAAAGCAAAGGTGAGGAAAAGTTTTATTCTGTTTTGTTTCTCAGGGAAAACGGCTTTCCCTGCTGAACAAATTTTGTTTACTCCTTCTTCCCTGCTCTAAGGGGTAGCATATGAAGGGATGCAAGTCTTAAATGACAATGCAGAAAGGTGCAGATCTGCACCCAAGTTCCTTGGTGTTGTGATGGGTCTCACCTTCCCCCTTTACAACCCACCTGGCAATGGATAGATCTGGCTGAATTTTTCTCTGCTCTTTGTTCTGGTGATAACCAGTGTTTGTCATGGAGGCTGACAAATAGGAAATAGATTATTTTAATGATTTACTAAAGTGCAAACTTAAATTAGAATGTTTCTGAAGACAGATGTAGTCTAGATTTAGACAGCATCTGAAAGAAGAGTTGTAAATTATTTTTGTAAGTTATCAAGGTAATGACACCATGGGTGATTTTGAAGCATATTGCAGGAAAATGGTTGCCTCCAGTTGTCCTGGCTGCACTTACAGCAGCACGAGCTCTGCCCCAAATCCTCCACCAGTGCCAGTTTGTGCTCCCATAAGCTGAGCCGAGAGCCCTTTGCTTTGAGATGCACCTGGCACTTCTTGCATCCATGCACACCTCTGTTAGCATAAACTCAGGGTTTTCACTCAGCTTGCAGCAATGCTATGGACTTTAGTCGTGAGCTGCCTGACTCACCAAGACCTCTTAAATATTCAAATCATCAAAGTTGAGACATAAAGCACTGGCATCACTGCAGTCAGTGGGAAAGGTGTTGTTGACTGAATCTGAGCTGAGGCATGCCCTGCTGGTGGTCACGTAGTGGTTGTGCATCACCTTCTCCTTGTGTGTTGTCCTCCTGAGAGATGAGGCTTAGCAAAAGGCATTGTATGAGTCTTGCCTACCACCTGCTGTCCAATTTAGTTGATAACTGACTAGAACAGTGCTACTCTAGCCTAAAGAAAGAAGAATCTTTGAGCAGTTAGTGACTCATGTCGTTGCATGGCTGCTTGGAGGAGATTGGCAGCCTTGCCCTGCCAAAGCAAGTACTAGAGCTTTGGAACTAACTCTTCTTGCAAGTCACTCCTCTGAGGACTTGTATTTCCACCAGCTTTCAGTAAACCCACTCTTGGCATGCTGTGGTAGTTACCAGTAAAGATGCT